TTGTTAAGTTTCTGTAGTAGACACTTTGTTGTTAAATCATAACCGGGAGACGTGCCTTTATACAAATGCTGTATGTATTCCTCTTCCTCTACATCAGATATTGGTTCTTGGTTTACTGCTCTTTCAGTTGCCGCATTAAAATTGTTATACACTTGTTACCATTTTTTCATGGATACAAGGTGTGAACGCGGTTATGAAATGTTCTGCAAAAGCTTCTGATTTTTCACTATCTGTATGATACTAGGAATTGTTGTATACTAACGTAGGAATCAATACTGATCTTTTGTACTTGGTTATGCGTTTAATTTTGGTCCAAAATGTCCTGCCTTTGTCGCCTTTTATCTCTGCACAAACTTCAAGCCATTTCTTCAATTAATAATTTTTGACCAACACATGTATCTCTTAAATTAACTGATTTTTGTGGTTTTTTAATATCTACTTTCTTTAACTATGTTGACGTTTAATTGTCAAGTTGACGTTTAAAAGTCAAATAATATTTTTAATTTTTGTACAATCATTTTACAATAATAGTGTTAATTATTTCATTCTGATAAATGGTATAGTTTTCCATTTTCCATCCAATTTTCTTATTGATGTATTTTTTTTGGTCTATTTATAATCCTTTTAGATTTTTTTAAAAATAATTTTGACATACAAATGTCATCTCAACGTTTGAACATTATTTTGACGTTTAGATACCACAACAAATTTCCCTAAAATCGTACCAACCTAAATTTTTGGAAATTTTTTGATGAATGTCGAATATTTCATACCGTTTTTTTTATAACTTTTATGATATATCAATATATTTCACCACATTTAATATTTAAAAGATTTTTGCCTTCAAATTAATTGATTTTTGTGGTTTTTTAATATCTACTTTCTTTAACGATGTAGACGTTTAATTGTCAAGTTGACGTTTAAAAGTCAAATAATATTTTCTTTTTGTACAGATCATTTTACAATAATGGTGTTAATTATTTCATTCTGATAAATGTTGTAGTTTTCCATTTTCCATCCGATTTTCTTGTTGATGTTTTTTTCCTGTTCTATTTATAACCCTTTTTGATTTTTTAAAAATAATTTTGACATACAAATGTCATCGCAACGTTTGAACATTATTTTGACGTTTAGATACCACAACAAATTTCCCTAAAATCGTACCAACCTAAATTTTTGGAAATCTTTTGATGAATGTCGAATATTTCTTACCGGTTTTTATGATATATTAATATATTTCACCACATTTAATATTTAAAAGATTTTTTCCATCAAATTAACTGATTTTTGTGGTTTTTTAATATCTACTTTCTTTAACGATGTTGACATTTAATTGTCAAATTGACGTTTGAAAGTCAAATATTTTTATTTTCTATTAATTCTAGGTCTTGTGTTAGTTCTAGTGATAATACTATACTTGTTGCTTATGAAAGTACATATTGCCAAGTACAGAATGATTATCTACGAGAAGTATATGATTAGGTGGAAGATATTTTTGGAATTCTTTAAAGTAAGGAAGAACATAAATGTATTAAAAATCTTTGGTGCACCTTGTGTGCCCAAAAAAACACCTGCCTTAAAAACACCCGGCTTTTTTGCATCACAAAAAAAGAACTACTCTTTCTTATCGTATTATAATTTTTCTTCGCTATATTCCCATTTATTTTCACCCCNACTTCATCTTCGTGGGTAACAGCCGCCATTATACGCTTGTTGAATAATATACTATAAATCATCCTAATTATATTATATTATATCAATAACTTAATAGGCAAATTATATTTATAGATTACATTGTGTGTAATTGATTATAATCATATTAATATGGTGAATTATTACGGTTGCAAGAAGGAGATTATTGTTTTTGTGCTGAAATACATTAAAACAATAAATTACTATAACAACAATACAGCAACTTAAAGAATTCTTTAAAAGAAATTAGAACAATTATCATTGAAGAAATTATTTATTGTTTTCAATCACAGGGCATGTAATATGTTGATATAATGGAATAAAATATTGAAATAAAAGCATTGCATAAAGTGAGAAAAAAATTACCTGAAAACAATAAGGTTTTTTCTTTGAAAAATGTAATAGTATATTAAAAAACTAGTTTCGTAAAACACGCCTGAAATGCACGAATTCAAGTAAAAAAACGAGTAGCTAAGCCACTAGTTTTTTAAGGAATGAGTGCCTTAAGTCTTACGATACGTGTTTTTTATGCTATTTTTTGTAATTCGTGTTTTTATCCTTTTTTTTTAACAAAAATAAAATAAATTTTGACAATTTAGGGAAATAAAAGGCATTTTTATTATTTTCATATCTTATTTAATACTTTGACCGCCATTGCTTACCAAAACTAATCGTTCTTTACAAAATAATCCTAGAACGAAAATATTTCCAATCTCTTCTAAGTGTTAAAATAGTATGAATATTACCCTGGAAATTAATTTACAAATTCCTATTACGGATCTGCTTCAGCTACTTTGCTAAATAGAGAAAGACGGTAATATGCTAATATCAGCGATGGGCGCTGGGTAAATACTCGGCGGGTAGGTATTTATAAAATGGGTATTTATCTGGGTATTTACTCCGGCCCAGGGTAAATACCCAAACAGTACATATAAAAGTAAAAATATAACAGATTCGGACAAACATATAGAGGAACATGATGAAATGGGCGTTGGAGACGAGGAATTGTCAACGATCACGTATTATAACCGTATTATAATCAGGTAACCACTGCTCAGTCTTCATTCTTGCGGCGATGATCCACCCATTTCCATTTGAGCTTTGCCACAATGTTGACCGCATCATTTACGCCAGTTCTTCTTCGTAGGTCTTCATTTCGTATGTGGCCCCTCAGGGTTACACCCAGCATCGACCTCTTCATCTTTCTTTGCGTTACTTTGAGCTTCCTGGTAATAGCCACCGTTAATGTTAACGTTTCGGAACCGTATGTCATAATTAAAGGAGGAAGCACGCATTAATTGAAAGCTTTTGTTTTTTATATATACAGGAATATCGCTCATGAAGATGTCTCAAAGTTTCCTGTAGGCTGCCCATGCGAGTATCATTCTTCTGTTTAGTTCGCTTGTTTGATTATTATCTCTCGATACACGAACCTCATGGCCAAGATATATCGCTGCGATGCGAACCAACTGAGATGAGTACTTTAACAGCAATAGTGGAAAAGACAAGAAGAGATAGAGTTAGGAACAAAATTGTAAGAGAATTTTGTGGAATCGGAGATGTCATGAGATTTGCTAGGGGAAAAAAATTTAATGAATACTTCCAATAGAAGAAACCCGGGAGACCAAGAAGTTGGATTTCCAACTCTAATAAAACACCATGAATGATGCGTAAAAACCAGGTTACAACCTGAATAAAAGAAGAAGAATAATAATATCTTAAACGAACTATTTAATTTTCAATTGGAAATCTACAATCTCATGGATCTTGGAATCTTGGATTTGATGGCAGTGCAATATGACTAGAAAAGAATCAAACAACAAGAATTAATGAAGCACAAAAATTGAATTTAGTTATTAATATTAGACTTATACTCAATTCAGGACATTCAAAGTTGTGTTTCAAGCATTAAAGAAATCTTCTAAAGAAACTTTCCCGAAATATATGTACACTTTAAAGATAATAACACCAGGAATGTGTATAAATTTGTTAGACAGTTAAGACAAAGGCACAAAGCGCACACAGCTCTATGCTGACATGGAACAGGAAAAATAATATGTGAGAATGAAGTGAATGACATTTGGAAAAATTATTTCCAAAACCTATGAAGCATAGAAACTGATTTGGAAATAGACAGCAGTCCGTCACACCAAAGAAAGGATAGTGTCATGGAACCTATATCAATCAGTGAGGTTCAAAACGCAATCACTACGTCAAAACATGGAAAGGCATGTTAGGGATTAATGACATAGCATCGAAAGTATTCAAGATAGAAGTATTCATTATCACCAATATTGATGTTAGAGCTTGGAACAAGATTTGTCCTAAATTTTGTTGATATTTAGCCCGACTCTTGCACACGCCTCCTGTATATGTTCAGCATCAGTTTCATCTCTCCAAGGCTATCAGAAATAAGGACTATATCGTCCGCGCAGCGCAAATTACTTAATTATCTTTATTAATCCAGTTGCGTAAATGCACTCTCCAGGACTGTGATCAACAATTTGGGTTCAACATTATATCGCCTTGTCTTATCCCACGCCCAATGGGTATTCGGTCAGTACTTTCATGCAATTGTGCCGTCAATGTAGCATTCTTGTAAATGTTATAAATAAGTTTGGTGTATCGATAATGGACTCTGCATTCTTGAAGTACTTGCAAAACTGCCATCAACTCAATTTAAATCAAATTTTATAAATACCTCTAAATACCCATCTTGGGTAAATACCTCCGGGTATATATCCAGGGAATTTTCCCTTGAAAATAAATACCCAGGTATTTAACAACACTGGCTAATATATTCCTGTTGCAGTCACATTGGATAAAAATGGCCACGATCAAAACTCTTAAGTTTTATTTCGTACGCGCAGGAACAAGCGCAATCTATATTCTTTTCTTTGTCTATGGTATACACCGACGGCACGAGTTTATTGCGGATTAATAATTAAATAGTTTAAAATAAGCAATAACCGTGGTGGCGAACAATATGTGAATACTTGAGTAAAATCCCTAGAAATCAATCAAAAATCCCATTATCCCTTTTAGTCGGATTTGTCCCTAAAACTAGGGATAAAATCCCTAATCTGGCATCACTGCTTCCCACTCCCTACTCTCTCTCTATTCTTCATCTCTCTCTCTCTCTCTCTCTTAGCGGTATCGATCTTCACAATACTTAAGTGTGAATTCTCAAATTTTTATTTTGGCCAGAACCCCAGAAACGTCTAATGATCGGTCTCGCTGAGACACCTGTATGTTTGTGCACCCTGAAAATGTTTTACAAAAAAATTGTTTTGAAAGAATAAGATAAATAAAACTTTAATTTTTTTATTCAATATAGTGCTTTATTGATACATCTTCGAAATTTTCGAATATTGTTTTATTTTGTACATAATCATAAGTTACAATAAATGTACAAAAAATTAAAGCAATATTACAAATCTTTGGTCAACTCTAACATCGGTAGGTTCTTGTATAATTTTTTATTTAAGATTCTTGCTTAAACGCTTTCTTCTTAATTTTAACGTTTCTTTTGTGTGTGTTTTCTTGTTTTTCTACGTAGGCCAAAATTGGAAAAAGTACGAAAGAAAGTACGTCCTAGTTTCATTTTCTTTTTCTTAGTCTCTTTTGTTATGTCAAAAAATGTTCTTGTAATATCGACGGAGTCGTCTGCTTCTTGAGAAAGAAAATAAAACGTAAAGATTGAGTTTTTAATGAGAAATTCTAAGAAAACATTGCTCCTTTTTATTAATAAACGCGTTCCTTCCAGACGCATTTCACTAGTTATAAATATCACAATGGCCTTTCGTGGAAGTTCGCCAAAGCCTCCTATAGAGTATAAAGTAATTTTTATTCTTTTTTTTTGTAGTTGTTATAATTAATAATTAATAATAATTTTTTTTGCAGTAATGTTAAGACGAAATGATCAATTTGGGCGAGGACTCGAGGTCAAAATTTAATCAAAAACTGTCCCCAAATAACAAAACGCCCTATTTATTTATCATTTTGGATTAATTAAATGAGATCGATGATGATTTTTAAGCGCTTTATTCTTTTTTTCTCTTCATTTATTTAAATTTTAAAGAGAAAAAACTACTGAGTTTATTTTATTTTCATCTTATATTAGGTAATATCTAATTAACCTCATTATTAAAAATCCTGTCAATAGTACGGAAAATTTATTTAAAATAAAAGAAGCTTTGTTTTTGAAGAATTAGTGTGCGTTTTAAGCAGCCCTATTTAATCACCAAAACAAATTCCCCAAAAAACCTTAAAAACGGAAGAAAGCAACATCTTTTTAACATCGTTTTTATTTAATATACTTTGTTTTTATCTCGTTTCCTCGTCCGTTTCCTCATTTTACTCATCCCCGTTTTGTTCGATTTGTGTCCCACCGCCTTGGGAGTCGCTGTTCATCTCGTGTGGCCTTAAAATTGCTCGAACCGTTTGATAGTTCTTCTTAAAACCGAGCTTCGTGTAAAGACCTTTCGAAGCGTCGTTTTCCGGACGTATTACGACGAATGGTAAATAACCTCTTTGGGCGACCACGCTTGTTAAATACTTGGCTAAATGAATCCCGTAACCTTTTCGTCGATATTCGGGTTTCGTTTGCATGGAAAACATAGCCCCGTAATAGGATTGAACCATCCAAGCGGCTAAATCACCGGATACGGAAAAAATACCGTAACATGGTAGTTGGTCTATTAACTTTTCAAATACGACGACGGATTCCATATTATTGGCCGGGTATAACTCGTGTATTGTTTGGGCATGTTCTTTGGTTAATTGTAACATTTCTGCATCTTCAGCAAAATTTCTAAAAATAAAATTAATTACAAGTACATTAATTCGAAAAATTTCTTTTAACATACCCAATCTGGTTATTGTATTCTTCAGGTTTCTCCGCTAAAACATAAAAGTCACCCAACAATGACTCCATCGAACCTTTGTCTTCATAAAACTCTTGAATCCTGTCCATGATTTTGCCATGCGTAAAATTTAAATAAATCGGTTGCGTCCAGTCGATTAGAACGTCCTCGTTGAACAACAATTCTAAATCGTCCAGGCTATCACAAGGGCAAAAGACGCCGAAACTCTCGTAGAGCTTCCCGTTTGGCTAAAAACATTGTTTATTTCAAAATCATTTCCATTTTGTCGCAATACGGAAGAATTCGTTTATATTTCCCCGCCGGCGAAAACTTCAACTTCGACCCAGTTGGCTTCCGGCCAAAGTCACGGTCATGGCGTGAGGTTTTCATGCGTACGAAACCATGCAATTTTCCCCCCTAAACCTCAACTTTAACCCATATAAGAAGTATATATTTGTTTCAATGCGGTGTCGTGACCTAGCATATCGTGATTTACACCCATCACGACTCTTTATTTACCTCATTAACTACATTTTGAGTTTAATATTGTACTTGGCATAAGATTTTAGATTATTTTTTACGAATTTAACGATTTTAGGCCCACTTTTACCACCTCTTGATAAATTTATCCGATAGATAAATCCAGCTCTTAGACTCGTTACTACCATCATCTGGTTAAGCTATCTAAGGGATTATTGCTACAGTTACAGCTATTTCACGCGCTCTGATTGGCTAGATGGGTTTATCTATAAGATAAATTTAACTAAAAGATGGTAGTAATGGACCTTAGCCAATGAGAGTGCTTAAAACCGCCGTAACCATGGCAACCATCCTCTAGATAGTTTATCAGGAGGATGGTAAAAGTGGGCCTTAGGCCCGTTACTACCAAACCAATGCTATCTGTCAGTTAAGCTATCTATAAGATACAGTTTATCTCGTAGATAACAGGGTCGCGCGTACTACCACCTCCATTTATCTCATAGTTAAGAAATCTTTGAGATAACCAAGGAATCTAGGGATTTTTCGGTCTATTATGTTAAATTGACAGCTCTATGTGGTCAAAAGACAATTAAAATTAAAAGACTTAAAACTAAAATTTAGCAACATATTAGCGATAGCAACATGTTACCCATTGTATAAAACCGAAGAGTCAGCAACAAACGGTTTGAAGGAGGTACAGCATTATTACTAAAATTTTGATGAATTTTACATTAAATAATAGCAATCAACAAATTAGTTACGTCATGGATGGAGGTTATGCTACATCTTCTATTTGATTCAAAAGGTGATGAAAATTTTTTTCGAGAGACGAAATCTCGTCATAAATTCAACATCTGAATGAATATTTAAATGGTCAACTCTACTCCTTATTATCCTTTCGCTTCTTATAGGAAATAATTCATTGATTTCTTCAAAAATTTGTTCTTCATCTCCAATATCGAAGACAGAGGCGGCGCTACTGGGGGGTGCCGGCGCCTTTTTTAATATTTTCTCCAACAATATCTTATCTTTCTTTTGCAGTATTTAGACCTGTCAGCAGTAGCTAGTCTTCAGAAAGCAGTATTTAATCTCCACAAAGCAATTTTAGTTTTTAGAAAGCAGTATTTAGTGTTCCAGACGCTGTATTTAGACCTGTCTTCAGTATCTAGTCTTCAGAAAGCAGTATTTAGTCTTCTAGAAGCAGTATCTAGTCTTCTGCCAAAGTTATGTATGTTTTCTCCAAAATATTTTATCTATCTTTTGCAGTATTTAGACCTGTTAGCAGTATCTAGTCTTCAAAAAGCAGTATTTAGTTTTCTACAAGTAGTATCTAGTCTTCTGCCAACGTTATGTATGTTTTCTCCAACAATATCTTATCTTTCTTTTGCAGTACTTTGACCTGTCAGCAGTATATAGTCTTCACAAAGCAGTATTTAGTCTCCACAAAGCAATTTTAGTCTTTAGAAAGCAGTATTTAATGTTCCAGACGCTGTATTTAGACCTGTCAGCAGTATATAGTCTTCAGAAAGCAGTATTTAGTCTTTAGACAGCAATTTTAGTCTTTAGAAAGCAGTATTTAGTGTTCCAGATGCTGTATTTAGACCTGTCGGCAGTATCTAGTCTTCAGAAAGCAGTATTTAATCTTCTACAAGCAGTATCTAGTCTTCTGCCAACGTTATGTATGTTTTCTCCAACAATATCTTATCTTTCTTTTGCAGTACTTAGACCTGTCAGCAGTATATAGTCTTCACAAAGCAGTATTTAGTCTCCACAAAGCAATTTTAGTCTTTAGAAAGCAGTATTTAGTGTTCCAGATGCTGTATTTAGACCTGTCGGCAATATCTAGTCTTCAGAAAGCAGTATTTAGTCTTCTAGAAACAGTATTTAGTCTTCTAGAAACAGTATCTAGTCTTCTGCCAAAGTTATGTATGCTTTCTCCAAAATATTTTATTTTTCTTTTGCAGTATTTAGACCTGTTAGCAGTATCTAGTCTTCAGAAAGCAGTATTTAGTCTCCACAAAACAATTTTAGTCTTTAGAAGGCAGTATTTAGTGTTCCAGACGCTGTATTTAGACCTGTCGGAAGTATCTAGCCTTCAGAAAGCAGTATTTAGTCTTCTAGAAGCAGTATCTAGTCTTCTGCCAAAGTTATGTATGTTTTCTCCAAAATATTTTATCTTTCTTTTGCAGTATTTAGACCTGTTAGCAGTATCTAGTCTTCAGAAAGCAGTATTTAGTCTCCACAAAGCAATTTTAGTCTTTAGACAGCAATTTTAGTCTTTAGAAAGCAATTTTAGTCTTTAGAAAGCAGTATTTAGTGTTCCAGACGCTGTATTTAGACCTGTCGGCAGTATCTAGTCTTCAGAAAGCAGTACTTAGTCTTCTAGAAGCAGTATTTAGCCTTCTGCCGAAGTTATGTATGTTTTCTCCAAAATATTTTATCTTTCTTTTTCAGTATTTAGATCTGTTAGCAGTATCTAGTCTTCAGAAAGCAGTATTTAGTTTTCTAGAAGCAGTATCTAGTCTTCTGACAACGTTATGTATGTTTTCTCCAACAATATCTTATCTTTCTTTTGCAGTACTTAGACCTGTCAGCAGTATCTAGTCTTCAGAAAGCAGTATTTAATCTTCCAGAGCAGTATCTAGTCTTCAGAAAGCAGTATTTAGTTTTTTAGAAGCATTCGATCTTTTTGGGAGCCTCTTGTCATCTATACGGATCTTGTACCACCCGGTACCTCATTTCTGCAGCTGTTACTTTGCTTTTGTGCTTATCCTGCATTGGCAAAGTTTCCGTATTGGAGATTTCCTGTCCTGTGCAATAACAAGACAAGTCTATTGGTTTATTGTTCATATTCTTCGCATTCTTTTATTGAACACATAAGTATTGCCATGAAAAATCATGTTTGTTTTATAATCAATTTTTTGTTTTCTCTGAACAGTAATTTCAGACTTCGTGTGGACTTTGAACAATGTAATTCCTGTTTTTTGCTAAAGTCTAGTTTATAACTATTGCAATTTCAGACTTTTTCTTGCAAATTAATCTTTTGACCAGAGTATTCCCGACTATTCCCTTATGTTTGGTTTTTCACCAGTATAATTCTTAAATTTTTGCTGAAGTATTTCTTTGATTATATATGTATATTATGCATTTTTTAATTTTTTTAACGCTTGAATTTTATACGTCAGTATAAATTCTATTTGAGGTTAGGTATTCGCAGTTATCCCTTAGATAGCAACTTATCCGACACCCAATCCACGGGTTACAGATATTTCAAAAGTTATCCGTTGGATAGCGGTATCTATAAGATAAATGCAGTGGTAGTAACCAATTTTTAAGCTATCCGATAGATAACGCTATCAGAGACTTGAACTATGAGTGGTAGTAGTGGGCCTTAATCGAATAAATAATTGTAACAAACAGAACTTGATAGTGTGGAATATGTAGTTTCAAGTATAACTAAAGATTATCTATTTGGGAACGAGAATCCTCCGTAAATTGCTTTCAAATTTGATGACCTAGTTTTCGGGGCGAGGGTTGAATACGAATTGGGTGAGAAATGCGATGTACGAAGGGGTGATGTAAGAAAATAATTTTAATTAATTCTTTTTGGCCGATATTTTTCTAAAAATAGTAATTTTATACTAACATACAGCACCACCTAGCGGAGATATGAAAAATGTTTATTAAAAGAATCGATTACAAATCAAATTTGTAACAGCTTTTATTTGAAACAATTTTCGATAAACGCAACTTTTTAAATCAATGTACAGAGTCGTGCAAAAGATAATTATTTATAATTTGGACGTAAAACCATAATTACAAAGTATACAATAAATGAAAACACGAAATTCTTTTTGGCAAATATTTGTTGAAGCTGCTCCACTCCCTTCGTTTCATCGCCAAAAGCAACCCCTCCCCGATATTTTTCTAGGTCAATACGAAAACAACCCGCCAAAAAATAATGTATTAAATTTTTTTTTCGTTACTTACCGTTTGTGTCATACCTGGAAAGTGAAGGACGACCTTCTCTTCGGGCCAATTTTTCGGTACGTAAAAATGGAAGTCCCAAACGCGATCGTTGAGGTAAGTCTTCAAGGTTTGATGGAACTGAAAGGTTAATAACGATAAATAAAAAATGATGTTCCCCCTTTACTCAGGGGTATCTTGGTGTAATCGCCGTGTAATTCAATTAGAACGGGGCTTAATTGGTTTGTTGAATGCTTAAACGCGACGAGATTACCTCGAGTATTACGAGCTAAAATAAAAGACCAACAAAAATTTATTTTTGTTTGAGAAAAATTCGTGATAAAACCGTATAAATAAAACCAAAAACTATAAAGGTATTTATTTTCGTGACGATACAATCTATACAAAAAAATAAGGTTTGAATCCATAAAGAAAAAATCTGGATTGAATTTAAAGGTTTTCTCGTGGTTAATTTGAAAATTGTGTGTGCGGTTGATTCGAAGGTCAAATAAATGGTTTCGATCTTTAATTTGAAAGTGTAAGGTTTCGTTGAGAAATTAATTGGTTAATTGAGTTAAATTATTACATTTTTTTTGTACCTTAATTGAATCGGGCAAATATTTTTCCAATTCGTCTAAAAGTTCTGGAAGCTCTTCTTCATGCACTATCTTGAAGTTTTTACCATCGGACAATACTTCCATCGCTTAAAATTAATAATGTTTGAATTAAGTAAAATCAATAATAATTAAATTATATTTATCTACAACTATTGAATTATCTATTCGTTATACATTTGATTTTTGACGGGTTTTGACACGCATTATTCATGACTGACAAAGTGTTGAATAATGAAGCCATTATTCCACAGTTCTTACACGGCCTAAATAAAATAAAATATTAACAGAAATGACAGCTTTCTTATATTGAGGTTATGTCTGAAATGTCTATCAAGTTTATTTTTTTATACGCTTGTTGAATAATATACTATTATCTACGACTGCTTGGATAAGTCATCATTACCGCACTCATTTGAGGTGATTTGAGTTACGTAATGAAGTGCATTACCGCACCGGTTTCATTACGTAACGCATTTTTAGCCTAATCAGAACAGACTTAATTTATTGAAACGAGCAACAATACAAAAGAAAAAGTGCTATCTACTTACAGAGAAACAATACTATTTATTATAAACATTAATTGTTATGTTTTTACATTTCAAAACACTTATTCCAGATGAGTAAACATGTTGTTGAAACTGACAATTCAAAATTGTCAACAATCATTTCAATTTTTAGTAATTTTTAGCAGTCGTAGATAAAATGCTGTATATCACACGTGGGCTAGAGCATAATTACAGTACTCGTGTGATTACACGCCTCGGTCTACGACCCCGTCGTGCAATTTTCCACACTCGTATTGTAATTTTGTTTCTAGCCCACTTGTAATATAAATAACTATTATCTACAACTATTGAATTATCTGTTCGTTATACATTTGATTTTTAACGGGTAATGACACGCATTATTCATGACTGACAAAGTGTTGAATAATGAAGCCATTATTCCACAGTTCTGACACGGCCTACTAATCAAAAAATAAAATATTAACAGAAATGACAGCTTTCTTATATTGAGGTTATGTCTGAAATGTCCATCAAGTTTTTTTTTTCCCTTTTTTTGATTTTTTTTTTTTTAAATTAAATAGTTGTAGATGAAGTATAGTATTCAACTTGCGTATAGTAGATGTTACCCACTCAGATTACTTCATCTTTGTGGGTAACAGCCGCCATTATACGCTTGTTGAATAATATACTATTATCTATGACTGCTTGGATAAGTCATCATTACCGCACTCATTTGAGGTGATTTGAGTTACGTAATGAAGTTCATTACCGCACTGGTTTCATTACGTAACGCATTTTTAGCCTAATCAGAACAGACTTAATTTATTGAAACGAGCAACAATACAAAAGAAAAAGTGCTATCTACTTACAGAGAAACAATACTATTTATTATAAACATTAATTGTTATGTTTTTACATTTCAAAACACTTATTCCAGATGAGTAAACATGTTGTTGAAACTGACAATTCAAAATTGTCAACAATCATTTCAAAATATTTTTATAAATGTCAAATAGACTTTTCTAAAGAAATTGATTTTTTAGTAATTTTTAGCAGTCGTAGATAAAATGCTGTATATCACACGTGGGCTAGAGCATAATTACAGTACTCGTGTGATTACACGACTCGGTCTACGACCTCGTCGTGCAATTCTCCACACTCGTACTGTAATTATGTTTCTAGCCCACTTGTAATATAAATAACTATTATCTACAACTATTGAATTATCTATTCGTTATACATTTGATTTTTGACGGGTAATGACACGCATTATTCACAGTATTGTTAAATACCCGGGTATTTATTTTCAAGGGTAAGTTTCCTGGATATATACCCGGGGGTATTTACCCAAGATGGGTATTTAGAGGTATTTATAAAATTTTATTTAAATTGAGTTGATGGCAGTTTTGCAGCACTTCAGGAATGCAGAGTCGATTATCGATATACCAAACTTACTTATAACATCTACAAGAATGCTACAATGACGGTAAAATTGCATGAAAGTACTGAAGAGAATAAAAGTAGTAAAGTACTGATTGTGAGTAAAACAATGCGATACACTGTTGAACCCAAATTGTTCATCACAGTACTCAGAGTGCATTTAAACAACTGGATTGAACCCAAAAAGGCATAAACATTGATTGCAAATGCTTAAGTGATTTGCGCTACGCGGACGATATAGTTCTTCGATATAGCTCAACGAGGAGAAACAACAGCTCTAACATCAACATTGGGGATAATGAGATTGAAAGGATTGACAGCTACGTATATCTTGGCTCTGAGGTTCGTGTCGAGAGATAATCAAACAAGCGAACTAAACAGAAGGATCACACTCGTATGGGCAGTCTACGGAAAACTTAGAGACATCTTCAAGAGAAAAGGCCAAGAAAGGCTTTCAATCAATGCGTGTTTCCGGTTATGACATAAGGCTCTGAAACATTAACATTAATGGTAGCCACTGCCAGGAGGAACCAAGTAAAGCAAAGATAGATGGAGAGGTCGATCCTGCGTCTAACTCTGAGGGACTACATACGAAATGAAGAGCTATGACGAAGAACTGACGTAAATGATGTGGTCAACATAGTGGCAAAGCTTAACTGGAACTGGGCGGGTCATGTCGCGTAAATGAAGAGTGAGCAGTGGACAAAACGATTGCTTGAGTGGAGACCGCGAGCGAACAGACGAAGTAGACATCAAAAGACTGACCAACAATTGGATTCAGACAGCAGAGAATAGAATGGAATGGAACAGAATAGGGGAGGTCTATGTCCAACAATGGACGCAGAGGGCTGCTTGATGATAATAATCATAATAACTTGATCTAATCTAAATTACGACAGATTCGTCTTTGATTATTGACAATTCCTCGTCTTCAACGTCATCATCCTCTTCATTTTTTTTTAGAATCTGATATATTTTTACTGGTATCACTTTTATGCCCACTGTTTGGGTATTTACCCTGGGCCGGGGTAAATACCCGGATAAATACCTATTTTAGAAATACCTACCCGCCGGGTATTTACCTAGCGCCCATCACTGATTATTCATGACTGACAAAGTGTTGAATAATGAAGCCATTATTCCACAGTTCTGACACGGCCTACTAATCAAAAAATAAAATATTAACAGAAATGACAGCTTTCTTATATTGAGGTTATGTCTGAAATGTCTATCAAGTTTATTTTTTTATACGCTTGTTGAATAATATACTATTATCTACGACTGCTTGGATAAGTCATCATTACCGCACTCATTTGAGGTGATTTGAGTTACGTAATGAAGTGCATTACCGCACCGGTTTTATTACGTAACGCATTTTTAGCCTAATCAGAACAGACATAATTTATTGAAACGAGCAACAATACAAAAGAAAAAGTGCTATCTACTTACAGAGAAACATTACTATTTATTATAAACTTTAATTGTTATGTTTTTATATTTCAAAACACTTATTCCAGATGAGTAAACATGTTGTTGAAACTAACAATTCAAAATTGTCAACAATCATTTCAAAAGATTATTATAAATGTCAAATAGACTTTTCTAAAGAAATTGATTTTTTAGTAATTTTTAGCAGTCGTAGATAAAATGCTGTATATCACACGTGGGCTAGAGTATAATTACAGTACTCGTGTGATTACACGACTCGGTCTACGACCTCGTCGTGCAATTCTCCGCACTCGTACTGTAATTATGTTTCTAGCCCACTTGTAATATAAATAACTATTATCTACAACTATTGAATTATCTATTCGTTATACATTTGATTTTTGACGGGTAATGACACGCATTATTCATGACTGACAAAGTGTTGAATAATGAAGCCATTATTCCACAGTTCTTACACGGCCTAAATAAAATAAAATATTAACAGAAATGACAGCTTTCTTATATTGAGGTTATGTCTGAAATGTCTATCAAGTTTATTTTTTTATACGCTTGTTGAATAATATACTATTATCTACGACTGCTTGGATAAGTCATCATTACCGCACTCATTTGAGGTGATTTGAGTTACGTAATGAAGTGCATTACCGCACCGGTTTTATTACGTAACGCATTTTTAGCCTAATCAGAACAGACTTAATTTATTGAAACGAGCAACAATACAAAAGAAAAAGTGCTATCTACTTACAGAGAAACAATACTATTTATTATAAACTTTAATTGTTATGTTTTTATATTTCAAAACACTTATTCCAGATGAGTAAACATGTTGTTGAAATTGACAAATTCAAAATTGTCAACAATCATTTCAAAATATTTTTATAAATGTCAAATAGACTTTTCTAAAGAAATTGATTTTTTAGTAATTTTTAGCAGTCGTAGATAAAATGCTGTATATCACACGTGGGCTAAAGCATAATTACAGTACTCGTGTGATTACCTAATTCTTCACACTCGTACTGTAATTATGTTTCTAGCCCACTTGTAATATAAATAACTATTAAAGCTTAATAGAACTTAACGAATAAAGTTAAATTGGGAGTCGTAAAAATTTTTCAATGAGAGGTTTTTATGATTAAGGTATAAAAAGGGATTACTTTTAAAAGTTTTTTTATGGATTTATATTGTTGGTGAATTTACCAACGTTGGCATAACACAGTTTTTAGCAGCTAATGGGAAGTCTTGCCCTGGCTATAAAGTATCAAAGGATCTCAAATTAAACCCCATGCTTGTGTAATTAAACCCAACCTTGTTGTGGGTTACAAAAACTTTGTTTGAAGAATGGTTTCAATAACTATTTTTATCTTGGAGCGAAATGTTGTTGCGAAAAATTGATCGATTTTAAGATTTTATTGATCTTGATAAAAAAATATATAAATATCAAACTTTATAACTCTAACGATAATGTACAAATATGTTTTAATACGATGTTTCAACGATAAATTAACATAACAAAAAAAGGGTCTAAGTACTGCAAAAAAAGTCTATGTGTCATCCGTTATAGAAAGTTATCATTTTGTGATCTACAATAATGTTAATATTCAAAATGAACGCACGTGGTAATGTAGAACTCGACAATATTGCAGTAAAAAGGAGACAGAAAGGTACTGAGAGTGTTAGAAAAGATGCAGAATTATTAGTAGCTTGC